CTAGACCCAGGGTCACCGGGCACCCCAAGCCACAGAAGTGCCTAAATTTCTCATCCACCGGCTTCAGGTCCCTTCACAGCCCCAACCCTAACCCCAGAGAAGCCAGAGCCTTCTCCCCTGCCCCAGCTCTGGTGGGCTTCGGAAGGAAGTTGAGCTTCAGGCCCTCTGGCCACCCCCCAGGTCTGGCAGGGTTTTTGTGCAGCCAGTGGAAGCAGGAAGCTGGCATGAGGGGGGCAGAATGGGAACCTGAGATGCTACACAGGTGTGGGGGAAGTGAGGAGCCCCCTGCCCACCAGTCTAGACAGTCAACAGGACCCCACTTGGGGACCTCCATACGTGCTGTTACCATACCCACATAATGGGCTCTTTGTCTGCCAGACCCTGACCACCTCCGCCCCCTTGTTCCCCACATGTTCATGCATACACACAAGGACATGTGTGTACTGAGACACACAGGAACACATGCATGGACATACAGATAGACACATAGGCTGCCAGACATCCCCGCCGCCCCCACTCCTCCTCCTTCAACTTGATAGCAGAGCTGCCTCCATCCATCTCCCTCTCACCTCTGACCCTGACCCCAGACCTGCACCAGCTGCCCTGCCTTCCTGCAGCTCAGGGTGGGGGTGGGGTGAGAGTGGGCCCTGTCTGGGTCAGTGTGGCTTCTGGAAGGCTTCCCTCATCCCACTCATTCCCAGCCCCCTGCCCAGACAAACCCAGCCTGGGTGTGTCAGAGGAGGGGTCCCAGGAAGAATAGGAAGGAGGGCCAAATTGGCCATGAATGGCTTCCCTGCTTGGCACGGGGGGCCTATGGTTGGGAGTGGGAGGAGACAGCTCCACCCACCGTGCTGGGCTTCAAAGTCAAATAGAAGCCCAATGGGCTCTCCAGAAGGCCTCAGGACGCTTGGCGGGAGGGACAGTCAGCTCTACACCTGCCACGGTCCAAGTCCCAAGTCCCGACAGTGAGACGCAGACGGTGAGGGAGCAGGCCGACAGACAGATCAGGTGTAAAGAGCCAGACAACCAGAGGAGGATCCAGACAGCGAGCGATAAGCATTTGCAGGGCGGGAGACCCCAGCAAATACAGGCCGGTGAGGGGCACAGGCAGACCCAGACGGGCAGACCCAGACAGACAAGGGCAAGGGCGGGAATCCTACGCAGACCTCCGCAGACAAAGGGAGACAGACCCCGGGCTGGCCCCAGATAACCCCTCCCCCACAGGATGGGGCGGGGGCTGCACGCCTCCTGCCCCGCCCCTCAGTGGGAGGCCCCGCCCACCTACTGGGCCCAGCCTCCCTGATTGCTCCGACCAGCCCATCCTTCCCGATTTGGGGGAGACCACTTGCAGGGACCTCCCTTCTCCGTAGGCAAAGATCATAGCCCTCCGGAAAGCTAGCGGAGAGACGGCGCAGGAGAAAGGGTGCCGTAGGGGGTCCCGGAATGTGGTTAGAGTGCCCGGGACTTGATGACCTCGCCTTCTAGCTTCGTCGTCACCAACAAACACAAAGCTTGTAAGGAACCTCTGAGACTACTAATCCAAACTCTCAGAGCATCACCTTCCTCATCGATTAGGTGATATTATCACCTAATAATATATAGAGTTCTCATTACTATCTCTGCCCTCCCAGCCCACTCTCCTCCCCTTAGTTCTTGGCATTCTCTCTACTGGGACCACCAACCCCAAGGCAGGCATGCTTCCTCGAAAGAACTCGGGTGTCTGTAGGGGGAAGGGGGAGGGGCCCCGGCCGCAGCCCACCCACCCCTGGAACCGAATGGGGCCCTGCTGGTCCCGCGGATGGGCCAAGGGGGAGGGCGCCCACTCGGAGCTCCCGAAAGGGGTGGGGTGACTGGACCCCGGCCCGTGGACCAGAGACTGGGCTTTGGGGAAAGGGCTTCATGAGTTGGGAAAATTTAATGGGGCGAGTCTTGCGGGGGTCGGGCTTCGAGGGGCTCAGGTTTGGGGGCGGGTCCCGTGGAGGGCAGACCCTAAGGGGTTGGGCTCCACGGAGATGGCCTTGGGGACCCCGTAAAGACACGGTCCGTGGGAGTCTAGGCAGGCGGGTTCTAGAGGAGGGTCCTAGGGGGAGGGGCTCTGTGACTTCGGACGCTCCTGGGGCTGGCACAATGAGGGGTGCCACAGGGTTAGGCTCAGGGGCCTGGGAAAAAGTCTTTAGGAGAACTGCGCTCTTTGAGGACCGGCTTAGGGGACAGGTTTTCTGGGGATTGAGTTTGAAGGTGGACTCCTTGGGAATCTATATGGGCGGGCTTTAGAGGGAGGATCCCAGGACCTGGTATTAGGTGGGTGGGCTTTAAGGGGACGGGTCCTGGGGCGGGGCTAGGGTTGGAGAGTTAGAGCAGCGGGTGTCCTCGGGCAGAATCTGTGTTGGGGTCTCGGGGGAGGGGCTTGGGGGGTTGTGTTGGCTCAGGCCGCCTGCAACAGGGAACTTTTAGGGTTTAAGCTTAGCACACTTGGGGCCCCTGATTCACCTTAGGTTTACACTAAAGGGTTCCTTTGGGGCTCCATATTCCCCTGAGTAAAATGGGAGGGTATTGGGAAATTGAAGGACCCTCTCCAGTTTGTCCTGGGAGTCCGTAAACCCAGATGGGGGGCACCAGAGAGGGCGGTCACCCAGCACTGTGAGACCTCTGGAGGGAGAGACTGGAGGCCCGTTTTACCAGGAGAAAGTGGGGAGGGGGCAGTATCTTGCCACACTGGGAATCCTAGCAGCTATTTGCTGGCAGTCTGTTTTGAGGTCTGAGGGTGCACCCTTCTTACATCACCAAAGGCCTGAGTTCAGATGCCTGAGACCCTGCAGAAGGGCAGCGGGTGTCTCCTTGGGTCCTCTTGCTTCTCCCCTATCCAGTGGGCAAGTGGACCTATGGGTAGGCCCGGGAGCGACCCCGCTGTGGGTCCCAAATTTGACCCCCAAGGGTTGTTGTGGTTCATAAACAGTCCTGCCCAGAAACGGGGTGAGGCTCCCAGAAGGTCTACATTGTATTAAAGTGATTTGTTTGTCTCTCTGTTGCATGATGTGCCCCCCACACCCCAGAACAGCAGGGCAGTCAGACACATTGAGGGGCCACTTGGAGTGGTGCCCTCTGGCCTCAGTCTCCCAAACTGACAAATGGGATGCATCTGCATCTTCCAGGACCCTCTTGAGTAAAGCCCAGCACCCAGTATTGCTACATCCATGCAAAACAGACTACATAAATACCTACTGTTACAACTATTGATATTAATCTTGTGCTTTTCCAGGTCCTGGAGCACACAGTTGGCACCTACTGTTTGCTGACTTAATGAGTCAATAGGTCCCTCCCTCCCTCACCTCTCTGGTTTCCTGCCCCCCCCCCCACACCCAAGAAGTTGCCAAGGGCCTGGGGGAACATTCAACCTGTCGGTGAGTTTGGGCAGCTCAGGCAAACCATCGACCGTTGAGTGGACCCCGAGGCCTGGAACTGCCGTCCACCCATTGTGACCCCCCCACTTTCCAGATCTGGGGGGCCAGGTCCTACTTGAGCACATCCCCTCCTTTAGGCCACAGTGAAGGTCACAATCAACATTCATTGTTGTCGGTGGGTTGTGAGAACAGAGGCCAGACCCACCGAGGGATGAATGTCACTGTGGCTGGGCCGCACACAGCCTGAGGGGAGTGGGCTGGGGGACAAGACCCACCATGGGTTCCCCCCAAATTGCTCAGCCTGTACCTCACCCCAACCCCAGCCTCTCACTGCTTGGGGAGGGCTGGCGTCTGGGATCCTGATGGACTCGGCTGGATTTGGGGAGGAAATCCTGGAGGGTTTGGGCTGGGGTGGACAGTGGCTGGGCGGCTGAAAAACCTTTCTAAAAGGGAGTGATGAGTCTGTTCCCTTAGGGCTTCATAAATGTTTCCTGAAGGAATGAATAAGTGAATGGGGTGGGGGGTGGTGTGAGGTGGTGTGGCCCCATTTCTCTGTGTCCAGGTCCTGACCTCAGCTTTCTCACCCTCCTTGCACCAACCCTCCATCGCCCATCTAGTTAGCACCTTGGTGCTGGCTGATGCCGCCACCTGCATGTCTGTGCCCCCCCTGGGTGACTCCTGGGCACACTCCACCATCCTCAAACTAAGCTGAGGTCTCATTTAAGGGAGGGAGGATCGAGGCTGTAGTGAGTGCTGGGGTCCCCTTATTAGCCCAACCTGTGCCTCTGCTGTCCCCAAACTCCCCATCTCACCCCCTCACCACCCCAGGACAGACCAGGGCCAGCACCTAGCCCGGGGAGGGGATCCAGTAATTAGATGGGGGAGGCAGGCTTTGTGTTAGTCTTTGTGAATAACCCTAAGGGCAGGTGGCTTCATACCTCAGTCTGTTCATCCATTAATAGAGGTTCCATTGAGACAATGGGTGTGAAGCCACCCTGAGGGAGCCCAGAGCTAAAAGCCTTGGTCCCATTAGCCAGGCACCATCCCCCTTTCAGGGCTGTCTGGAGAATCAGCAGCTCCCCTTCTCCCCAAAAGGCCCAGGGGCACCTGGCCCTTCCCCTAGCCTAAGGGAAGGAAGGAAGCAGTTACTAAGTTACAGGTTACATCAATGCTTGTCTTGAGGGTGGGTCTTCTACCCGCCCCCTCAAAACCCTGTGGGGCAGGGTGGCTGACCTCCTCCAAGGAGGTGTGGTGAATAGTCCTTCCAATGCCCTCTGGGTGGGGTATGTGGCTCCAAATTGCAGGTGCCCCCTGCAGACTGTGCCCTGTCATCCCCCCCTCGCCCCACTCAGAGACCATACAACTCTTTGTCAGGTGCATTTACAGGGAGCAGCAGCAAGCCCCCCTATGACAATAGGAATCTCCCAGGGCCTGTTCCCTCCCCTTCAAAACCCCTCGGAGGTATAGGAGGGAACTGACAGCCCAGACTCCTAGGCTCCAGAGGGGGAAAGGGAGGGGCAGGGACGAAGAGAAGGACAAACTTGGGGCAGGCAGGGTTTCTTCTCTCTGCCCCCTCTGCCTGGCACTTGTGACCCAGCCATGGGGACCTTCAACCTGTGGACAGATTACCTGGGTTTGGCACATCTGGTGGGGGCTCTGCGTGGGGAAGAGCCTGAGACCAGACTAGACTCCCAGCCAGAACCAATGCCAGGACCAGGGGATCAGAGGTCCAGCCCAGAACCTTCGCCAGGTCCAGAACGCCTGTGCTCTTTCTGCAAACACAACGGCGAGTCCCGGTCCATCTACCAGTCCCACATGCTCAAGGACGAGGCAGGCCGGGTGCTGTGCCCCATCCTTCGAGACTATGTGTGTCCCCAGTGTGGTGCCACTCGAGATCGTGCCCACACCCGCCGCTTCTGCCCACTCACTGGCCAAGGCTACACCTCTGTCTACAGCTACACCACCCGCAACTCAGCAGGCAAGAAGTTGACCCGGCCTGACAAGGCAAGGACACAGGATTCTGGTCACCGAGGAGGAGGAGGAGGAGCAGCAGGAGCAGCAGGAGGAGGAGCCAGTGCAGGTGGCTGGGGAAATCTGCTGTGGAGGGGGAACTTCTTCTTTTAAGTAAAATTAACCCACGTACCTACTTCAGAGGGTTGGGGAGAGAGAATCAGTGTAGAGACCTTATATTCCCGAAGTGTGGCCCAATGTGGATAAACTGGGGCTTCACTGTGCTGTGTGGTCTTGTGGTCTTGTGCAAGAGATGCACCCTCTTTGGGCCCTTGCGGAAAATGCCATCCTTTTCCAGGCATGGATGACCTGGCAGGGAAGCCATATGGACTAGCTAGCAGTGAGGTCTGGGGACAGATACAGCAGGGGCTTGACACTGCTTGGTGCTGAGCAGCTGTGTGACCTGAAAGAAGCTGCTCATATTCTGAACCCTACCCAGCTTCCGTATTTCTTTACTCATTTGCCAATAGTTTGTGTGCCATTCTGTGCCAAGCACTGGCCTCAGCCAGTGGTGGACAAAGTAGATAAAAAGCAGCAGTTAAAACAAAGGGTCCTGAATAGGGAAGTCTAGAGAAACACCTGATCCAGATGAGAGAGTTCAGGAGGGCTTCCTGGAGGAAGTGACTTTAGGAAGCCTAAATCAAAGTTTGGTGAGGAGCTGGAAGTGTGGCCCAGGCATTGGGGCTTGTTCAGGAATTTAGGGACAGACTGGGGGTGTGTGCTTGTATGCTGGAGGAGGAAGTGCCAGCGATTTTTGGGACAGCCAAGGGGCCTATAGGGCCTTGTAGGTCACATTAGAGTTTGGATTTGGCCACTAATAGGGAGTCACAAAAGAGGCAAGACCAGGTCTGTGTGTTGTGTTGACACTGGCTAAGCAGCTGGATCATGGGAATGGATTTGAGTGTTGGAAGAGGCTGGTTCTCCAGGCAGAGGTGTCCCAGGTAGGCCAGAGGGAATGGCCCAGCAGTGCCCAGTCAAATGTCAGATTGGACGGGAGCCCCATGAGTTTCCTGTGTGGGAAGTAGCCCAGGAGAGTATTTGGGGCTGCAGCTCAGAAGAGACCTACAGCTGGAACTTCCCTCAGGTCTAAACACACTTTACTCACTTGAGTGGCCCACCCTTTGAGGTCACTCCAATCTTGTTCCTCAAATGGGGGTTTTGATTCTGCGTGTTTGGTTTGGGTAAAGGTTGAGCACCTGCATTCTTAACTAGCTCCCTAGGAGCCTGCTGTCCTTTTGGGCCATGGACCATGCAGGCTTTGAGTAGTTCGGGCTTAAACTAGCAGCAGTTTCCATTCTAGATGCAAAAGACCTCAGCTTCTGTGGGATCTTAAAGGACAAATCTGTTTTAGTGACATTATGGGGTAGTCATGCAACAGAGGACGGGGGTCTGATGGGGAGTGGTGTCGCTGCCTATTTGGGTACTGTGGGGAGGTACCCACCGTCTCCCCACCAGACTGTGGCACCTTGAGCGTGGTGAGCCCACAGGAGGACCCCCACCCTACCTCCTGCAGCTGTGAAGGGAATATTTAATAATGAGAGATTGCTTCCAGAAGATAGTATGCCTGTGAGGTTTGGTGAGGTCCAACTTGGAGGCACAGGGAACTGAGGGGACACAGAGATGATGGTCTCAGAATCCTTTTTCCCTTAATTCCAAGGGAGAAGGAAAACTCATGTCCCAGGATATAGAGTAAAAGGGTAAGGGAGCCCACCCATGGTACGGAAGGGCTGCCTGGCCGGCCTGGTAACACTCCAGGTATCACAAATTCTGGATCCTGGAGTCCTATGTCCATGACGGGGCAACACTGCAGGCCGGAGGGGCAGTTTTTGCCCTCTGTCCAGTTCTGGGTTTCACCTGGGGTTTCCCTAGTCCAAGAATGTGACTTGAGTGCTATTCCACCAGCAGCCTCCTGGTGGCGCCAGAGCCCCAGCAGCCCTGCAGGCTGAACTGGTACTTTGGCCCTATGAACCGATGCCTATTACTGTTTTTCTCCTCCCCCATCCGCTTTTAAAACCCAGGTTCCAAAGGTGCCAGGAAGTCGTCTGGACCTTCACCCTCTTTCTGCTGCCCCTCCACTTCGGCCTAGGAGGCAGGTGCGGGGAGGACATCCAGGATGCTGCTTTCCCTGGCCTGGGGATGCTGACTCCCTGAAGGCTGGATTTCCAAGATGCATCTGGCCAGGATGCTCTCCCCCCAGCCTGGGGGCTTGAGTGAGGGAACAGAGTCTGGAAACACTGCCAAAAGAGCCCTGTGAGGAAGGAGTTAGTCCTAGGACACCCCTGCCCCTCCTCCCCAACACAAGGTACAAGTCAGTGCTCAATAAATGCTAATGAATGGATCAAGGGTCTAATGGGGCTGGTCTTGAGACGCCAGCTGGAACAGCTCCTCTCTCCTGGCTCTATGAGCCCGGGCACGTTACTCATTCCCACTTTCCTGATTGCTGTTTGGATCCTGGCTCACCTGGGGCACTGGGGTGAGCTGAGAAATGGGAGTGGGCACCACGGGGTGGCTGTAGGGCTTTGAGGGGTAGCCCCTTTACTGGCACTTCTGGGCACAACCTTGCTGCTGAGTTAGCAAATTAGGCACTTTCTCTGACATTGGTGTCTTCCAAGTCCCTTTCACCCAGCCCTCACATTATCAATATGCCAAATAGGTGGAATCCTGCACACTGGAGGCAAGGACCTGATTTAAGGAGGGAAATGGATAGACAATTAGACCAAGCCTCTCTCCCCACATTGTCCTCATCAAAGAGGCCCTCAGTGAATGTTTACATCACACCATAATGCCCTAGCAACTTGGGGCCATGGAGTCACATGCCAGGCCTTTCTGGGGTGTGGGAAAGGAATGGAACTATATCCTGTGGTGGGTCAGCCAGCCCAGGCCTTGCCCAAGGGCACTGTGGAGGTGATTTGGGTCTGCTTGGGTAAGAGTGGGAGATACAGAGCCCTCCCCACCCAGGGATTGTGATCTGGTTCCCCCGGGGTGGGGCTGTATTCAGAGGAACCCTCAACCCTGTCTCCTCCATCACCAGAGCTTGGTTCCCTGGCCTCCAGGGAGCAGCAGGTGGCCACATTCCTTCCCTAAGCCAAGGGCTGGCCACCATCCCCCAACCCATACAGTCAGTCTCTCTCCCAGGGTTGCGTGGAGGCCAAATGGACTTTGCAGGTCCCCTCTGCCCTTGCACTGGGACTTGAGGCCACTCAGGAGGAAAGCCAGGGATGGAAGCCTGACCTTGAAGACAGCCTGCTATCTAGGCTTTGAGGGAAGAGGGGAGGACAAAGACGCAGAGGGGTGGCCCCAAGGGCCTTCAAACTGAGTCAGGGACACAACATCCCAGCTGCTACAAACTGCTAAGGACATAAGCCAGAGCTGCTGGGGCTTGGAACCCTTGGGGATGGATGAACTAGCATGTCCTAGAGGGACCAAGGAAGGTGGTGTCAGGACCCTGACTGACTTGCTCCCCTCCTGAATGGGGCCCCCCAGGGAGGCCATAGGCAGAGCCACTAATAAAGGAGTGGGTTTGGTCCACTTGGTCAGGCTTGTGGGATCAGGTATGCAGTGACTGCCCTTGGCATCTTATCAGAATCAACAGCCCCCCAAGACTGTCTCCTTCCAGGCTGGGGCTTCAAAGCAGCTTGTCCCACAGAGAACAGACAGAGCCACTGAGTGCTGACAGTAACTCTCCAGTGGGCTCACAGAAGCTGGTGTGTATGAATGGTGTGAACACCATACCCTTGGGAACTCGTGGGGATCCTCCCTGACCTGTGTCCCAGCAGTAACCCTACCGCCTTTCTAGAGGGGATGGGAGTGAAAGGAGAAAGGGGCAACCAGGGAGATTTGTGGGCAGAACATCAAGGAACCCCAAGTCTTCAACCCCCAAATGACAGGGCCTGGGGCCTCACTAGGGAATCATTTATTAATGGTCTTTCAGAAATAAATAAAATGGAAATCCAGAGAAAGACAAACACAGCCAACAAAGGGAGCCCTTTTCTCCTCCAGCAAAAAACAAATTCTGAACCTGCCATAACCATAGCCAAGGAGCCAAAATTTGCAAACTCAGATAAACATCTGGGTGACTGGGCCCTGTTCCTGGGGCCTCCGCCTGCCTCCACCTCCCATTGCAGCCTCAGCCTCTGTAGAAACAGGTTTCCTCCCCACACGGGCCCCAGAGGGAGGCTGCTGACTCCAGGGGGTCTTCAGGGCTTCCCAGGGGACACTGACTGCCAGTGAAGCTGAAAGGCAGTTTCTGGGCCTAGGATCTGCTGGAGCATCTTGCGAGTAACAAAACACGAGGAACAACATCAGGGACTGCAGGCTTTCTGGGGTGTGCTGAGAGACTGTTGCCAGCTTTTTGGCAGGAACACCAGGCACTTCCGGGGTCAGGGCGTGAACAAAACATGCAAATCCACGAGGAGAGGCACTGCACATGTGGTCCCCCAGCTTCCTCATTTGGAAGCATCTACAAATCACTCCAGGATTGCTCCCCTCAAGGGAGAGTCCCAGCCCCCTTTGATGTGTAGGGCATGGGGGCTTTCCCTGCAGGCTTCGCCTTCCTATAGTTGAGGCGCTTGAATGCTTCCAGGTCCCGGTGGGCACTCATGATCAGCCGGCTGCACGAAAATGCTGGCATTGACTATGAGCCAGAGTAGGATGCACTGCACACTCTGGCTCACACAGGTTCGCACAGGTCACACATGCAGACTCACACTCTCACAGGCACATTCACACAGACACGTGCACAACAAGAATCAACCCATTACAGAGTCAACTGTTGACTACCCCAGCCCCTCTCTGGGACCTAACAGTCCTAACAGGTGAGGTCCAGGAGTGACACTTCCTAGAGGCTTTTGCTGGGTGGCCTGGGTCACTGTGTGGGGCCTCCTTGCTGCCCTCTGGTTCCCCCCAATCCCATCCTCTCTGGGCCCATCCTACTGCTTGTCCTATCCATCCCTTGTGGATCCAAGTCCAGCTCTTACTTCAGGTTGGACAGCTCAACAATGAGGCCGCGCACAGTATGTGTTGCGTCCTCCATCCTGGTGGCTTCACATGGCTGGATCCCCTTGTGGGTACTGGAGGGAAAGGAAGACAACAGGCCTGACCTCACCAGACAGCGGGGCTTCTGCTGGGCCCTCAGCTATCTGCTTTTCCAGATATTAAGCAACATGGGCAGAGCTCTTATGGCCAACCCAGCTGGATCAACTGCCAAAAGCACACCCAGAGTCCAGCCCCCGCTTCTCCCCAGCACAGGCACCCCGAGGAGCTGTTGCCACAAGCTCCCTGGATCCCTAGCTCCTGCCCCTACAGCCTCCTGTGCAGCAAGGAGTGGAGGGCTGTGAAAATGGAGACCTGGCTTCCTGAACCATCTGCTCGCATCTCCAGACTCCATCTCCTCCTTCTCGTCCCCCTCCCTCCTGCTCTGGCCACACTGAATTCCTAGCCTTTCCCTGAGCACCTCTTAGGGCCCTGGAATGTTCTTTCCCAAATGTCTTCTCCTTGAGGGTTGGGGGAGCTGGACTTCCCTGATCACTGAGTTAAAATGTTAATCCCTTTCCCATTGTCCTTCTATCCCTAACACTCTGCCATCTGACTGTCTCTCTCCCCGCCTGCCCTGCCCAACACTCACTAGATCGTAGCCTCACGCTGTGTCCTGTCCCACTCTGCCTGCCCTGTGCCCAGAGCGGTTCCTGGGGGAGCCAGCATGGGATGGTGTGAGCATCTGTGGGAGGAGTGGCTGCGCCACAGCACCCACTGCATCTAATGTGTGGCCTGTGGGTGCTGGCAGAGGGTTATCCTCTGGGCCCCTGGTCAACAGCACTCTATAAAGCCTACTATACCCTTGACTTGGCAGAACCTCCCAGGCTGTCATCATGGAATTCTAGTTCCACTCCACCTGCCTCTGTCACCCAAGATGGCTGGCTGACGCCGGCCTTCGCTTCTTTTGTGTCTTACTCGCCATGAGCCACGGACCCCAGGACCGGCCCTGGGAGTCTTCCCGATGTCCGTGTGGGGTTGCATTGGCCCAGGGAGGCCGTCAGAGATTCAGACATGACTCCCCCTCCTCTTTGCTCACACAGTGGTGTGGCTGCTTTTACTAAACTGCCCCTGGTCCTCGTGTGTGTGTGTGTGTGTGTGTGTGTGTGTGTTCAACTGGTGCAACAGGTACTAGTGATGAGTGCAAGAGAAGAAGGTAAAAACACCCCACCTCACACCTTGAGAAGGAGAAACAGAAAACCTTGACAAGGGCTGCACCCCTAGCCCCTCCTCCACACTTGCTAGACAGAAACAGAAGCTTTACCACAAATAATTGATAAAGCACTGCCTCTGCAGAGGCACCTGTCCCAGTATGAGGTAACAGGAAAGGACGGTGCCCAGTGCCCGCCCCTCGCAGGGCTGGCAGAAAGGACCGGAGAGAGGTGATGGACTGTGGGAGGCTCAGGGGGTAAGGGGAGAACACACGCGTCCCTCCCTCACACATACACACTCCCCAGGCAGAGGGGCAGTGCACCTTGTGGCCTGCAGGAGAGAAAGTGGCCTTTTCTGGGGCAGAGCCAAGTGGGAAGTGAGGACACAGGACAGGTCAGAAGCCCTGGAGAGCCCACTCTGTGCCCAACCTGGGACCACCCAAGATCCACCAGGCCAATGGTTCTTAGCCATCCCACTTTGAGGAGACTCTGGGAAAGTTCTGGACCCCCTCTCCAGAAAAATGCACATACTGATTCCAAACAACCCACAGAACCAGGGACACCACCACAGAGCTCCCGGGGAAGAGACTCTTCTTTGGGTACAGATGGCTGGTCACCAGTTTTCCACTTGCGGGGAGCCAGAGATATACGCAGTTGGAAAGACAAGGCCCAGCTCCATTACTGGATTGAAGGAAGTGAGGCCCAGGGCCCCTTCTTGCCCCTCATCAGCAAAAATGGAAGTTCCCAGGGGTGGCGAGAGAGAAAGCATGGGAGCTCCAGTGCCGGAAAGGAAGGGACATTCCCCCTCAGAAGGGAGGACTCCAAGGCAGGGGTCCTGGGGTGGCTACCTTGGCTGGGCCATGGTGAGAGGGCTTCCATCAGTACCTAGGCTGGTGCCAGGGCCCTCGGTGCTCCCTGCAGGAAACTGAAAAGAGAGAGCACATGTGTGAACCGTCCAGCTGCGTGAGCCTTGCACAGGGAAGGAAAAAGTCACGTAGGGAACGTCTCCCTTCCCCTAGCCACTCGGGGTGAGGCTTGAACTCCTGCAGAGGAAAAGTGATGGCTAGACCTGGGCCACTAGCTGGGGCCGCGTTTGCCCTCCCCCCTCAGAAAGAGAGCAGAAGGGTAACCACTGGGCCTGCACCTTCCAAAAGGCTGATCCGCGCCCAGGGGTGGCTGCATCCACACATTCTCTCTTCCTGACGACTAAGGTGCCACACTGTATCCTCCATACCACATGGTACCTAGAAGGGTGCAGAGAAGACCCCTAGGGGTGCTGACTGTAGCAAGGTGGGCACTGGTGTGGAGAGGAATGAGGTCGGCCACTCATTTTGTTAGGAAAAAACTGTGAATATAATGCCAAGGGAAAAATCATAAATAATAGGGGATAGAGCCAGGTAACCCTGAGAACCTCAAGTCAACAGTGGTTTAATTTTTGTGGAAAATGTCAGGCTCAATCACGGAGGTGACGTACATCCCTTGGAAAGAGGAAAAGAGGCTGAGCTGGGGCAGCCTGCCCAGGGCCTCTGCTAAGGAGACCAAGTCCTGGGGTTGGAAAGGGGCCTGTTCTAGGGACGTCCTCTCCCCTGATGGGGATGGGGGACAGGGTGAAAGGATGAGCTACACTAACAAAGAGATGCCTAAACCACATGAAAAACTGCCTGCAGCCCAGCAGTTCTCACCTGGGGACATTTTTGGTTGTCGTGACTGGGGGTAAAGGTGCTACTGGCATCTGGTGGGTGGAGGCCAGAGACGCTGCGGAACACCCCACAGTGCACAAGACAGTCCCCACCAGAGAACACTCTGGCCCTAGATGCCAGCGGTGCCAGTTGGGGTCTCTGCTGTAGACAATGCAGGGTCTCCTGTGATCTGCCTATTTCATGTAGGCAACTGATTTAAAATATGATTCAATGTCACATATTCCTCAAACCAATTACACTGTTCTTGGCCATGAGAAATATTCTCCCACCCACCAGGACTGTGCAATGTCATGAGGAAAGTAGTCCTGAACATCCAGGGTCACAGCTGCAGGCCACTGCAAGGGACCTGGGAATCAGCTTTTAATATGATGCTCCTTACAGAGCATACAGATACTCCACCAGCTCTGAGGTATCACCTCCCAAGAGAGCTGTTCTGAGAAGAAAACACCGAACTTTCCTGTGAGGGGACCTGGGTTTGAAACCAGTGACACCGGTAAACATCTGTGAGTCTGAGTGGCCTTCTCTGAAATGGTGCTGATGGCTGTGCCCCGTGAGGCTGCGGGCCAATCAGGGAGAGGCAGTGCCGCTGCTCTCCATCTGTCTGTGCTCTGCGCCCAGGGCCCCTGTCCACTTGGCTTTCCTGCCAAGGGCCATCCAGATTCTTCCCTTGAGAATGTGCTGGTGCCTGGGTCACCCCAACTTGTTCAGGAACTCCCAATATCAAAACAAAACTGGTCTGGGCGTTGGCAGCCTTGTCAGAGCAGAGCTGACGCCCCTGAGGGACCTGTCGGGTCAGACTGCCCAGCTGTCAGCCCAGGTGCCCTGCACTGCGGACTCCCTGCCATTTTCTAAGGCAAGGTGCTGGCAGCCTGTCCAGAAGGTTCCCTCTTGGTCCTGCTGGACGCCACCAGATGTCCCAACTGCTTCCCCAGCCTTCTCCCTTAGTCAGTGTCCAAGAGGCCAGGGACTGGGAGTAACTCAGCAATGAGGAGTTCACATTTTTCAAGAAATGAGGCCCCAATTCTAAAATTTCAGCCAGCCCAGCACCTGAACGCCCACCTGTCCAGGCAATCATGTCCTGACCCTGCACTGTGACCTACTTTCCATCATCTTGCTTGCCTGGTGATCACTGAACAGGCAGCCCAAGGAGCCTGGGCCCACATAGGGTGGGTGGGGGGCACTGGGCGAGGCTGGGTCTGAAGTCACCTCATAGGTGGACATTTTGGAGGGCCAAAAATGCCCCCTGGCTGTCCCTGGGGAAGGCAGTACAGTGGAGACCTACACTGGCCCCCAGCCATGTTCCCCTCCACACTCGGAACAGCTAGCTTTCTTCAGCTGGGCACCAGGTGAAGGCCCATTGCTTGTGTTTTGGAGCTGTGTCACATGAAGACTCTTTAAATTCCAAAATGACAGGGTACAAAAATGCACACTCTGGGAGAAACCAGTGAGGACAGTGCTACCACAAACCCTGAGGGGGCAGGGATCCGCCTGATGTCTTCACGCCTGGCACAAGCAAGCTCTCGACAAGCATGTACTGAATAAATCTTTTTTAAAAAATTCTATTTATTTATCTTTAGAGGGGAAGGGAAGGACAGAGGGAGAGATATCAATGTATGGTTGCCTCTGGTGCGTCCCCTGCTGGGAACTGGCCTGCAACCCAGGCATGTGCCCTGACTGGGAATCGAACCACAATCCACTGGTTCACAGGCTGGCGCTCAATCCACTGAGCTATGCCAGCCAGGGCCCATTTTTAATTTTTATTTTATTTATTTTTTTAGAGTATCCAATTTAAAATTTTTTTATTTACTTTTAGAGAAAGGGAAAAGGAGGGAGAAAGAGAGGCAGAGAAACATCCATGTGTGGTTGCCTCTTATGTGGCCCCCACTGGAGACCTGGCCTGCAACCCAGGCATGTGCCTGGGAATCAAACCAAAGACCCTTTGGTTTGCAGGCCTGTGCTCAACCCACTGAGTTAGACCAGCCAGGGCTGTATCTAATACATTTTTGAAAAAAAATCTCCCTTGGCTGGTGTAGCTCAGTGGATTGAGTGCGGGCCTGCGAACCAAAGGATCGTGGTTCGATTCCCAGTCAGGGCACATGCCTGGGTTGCAGGCCAGTTCCCAGCAGGGGACCCACAAGAGGCAACCATACATTGATATTTCTCTCCCTCTCTCCTTCCCTTCCCCTCTACAGATAAATAAATTTAAAAAATTAAAAAAAAAAAGAATGGACCTTGTTGTAGACCGCTAAAAAAAATCTCAACAGGGACAGCTAAAAAGACATGCCAACGTTCATCGAGGGAGTTGGGCTCCACATTTTGGGATGGAGTGGCTGAGGCACAGCTGCAGGATCAGGCCGACCTGGGCGCAGACCCAACCTCCTCCCCTCCTGGCGGTATTGCCTCTGGCAGGCACCCAACCTCCTTCAGCCTCTCATCCTCACCCACCAGAACCACCCACTTCCCAGAGCAACACTGCAAAGCACTTAACTCAGCTCAGGTGTGTTACCAGCCAGCAACATGGAGCTTCCCCTGGGAGTGAGGCCGAAGCAAAGCTGTCACCTACCTTGACAGATGAATGCCATGGCTGGCAGAGGCTCACTGGGCAACTTTCCCCTGCCTGTCAGGTGGGAGGTCCCTGAAGGAAGCAAAGTTTCTACAACATCCAGCAGAAAAACAAAACTCTATGCCTATGTTTGGGACAGGTTCCTCGTTGGAAAGGCAGGTCTTTCTTTCCTTTCTGGAAAATCAGACTCCAAGCCCCTGAAGCTGCAACTCAGATCCCTACACTCACCTACCACATAAACAGACCACCACACAGCCCACCCTCCCCCTCCACTGGATGGTTTTGGTGAGGGCCTGCAGACACTGGCACCTGCCCTGGAATGGGCTGGCTGTACTTAAGGATACTCTTACCTGCTCATTTGCAGCTTCAAAGTTGGTGGCTTCCAGGGCATCCTTTATCTGGCTGTCTGGCAGGAAGTCAAGTTCCATGGTTGGGAATCCCTCCAACATGGCCTGGTCTGCAGAGTCAGGAGGGTGCTTGGGCTGGTCTGCTGGGCCTGTGGGGGCACCTGGGCCGCCCTGGTGGGCCCTGGCATCCCGGGGGGGGCCATCCATTGCTTCTCTGTACAATGGAGCAGAGGCTCCAAGGCACAGACTGAGCCCCCCAAGGTCTTGTGCATGGCTCTGGCTACCTAACTCTGCTGCCTTCTCACCCAAAGTCTGTGATAGCAAAGGCAGTGCACACACATCTCCCAGCCCTTCTTGATCCTGGCCTGTCTGATCAACAACTGGGCCCATTTCTGAGGCTACAGGACTGGAATCTCTAGCACATATTGTAGGCTCCTGGATCCCATGAGCCAAAATGAGGGAGGCTGCAGGGCCCCCCAGGACTTCACCGGGGGTTCAGCTTCCTGCCCTGCCTCCTCTCTGCCTCCTGTGGTCTCCCCGGTGAGAGGTGTGCCTCTGAGCAGGGCCCCACTATGGCCTCCATCAGGGGTCTTCCTGTTGGGAGAGACAGGTACCCTGGTGTCAGCCTTCCCACCTGGCCCAGCCACCTCCAGAGCCCTCTGTTCTGGGCTGATAGGGTCTGTGGTCACATCTCTGATGACAGTGACCCTAAAAGAGGGGTGTCTGGGGCTGCTACAGCTCCCTTCTGCTTCCCTGCCAGCCCTGCTGAGTGTCTGCATGGGGTCAGTGGGGCCCTGGGCCGCAGACCCAGGCTCTAAGCTCTGAGTGGCCAGGCCCAGGACACTCTCCCCTTTCTCCTGGTCAACCCCTGCTCTTCCTTGGGCACCTTCCTCCTGGGGGGCTCCTCGGTCTGGCTCCTGCTCTTCAGCACCACGGCTTGGTAGATGCCCTTTATGGCCGAGATCACCTGGAATCCCACCCGCCTCTGTGCCTCCACCACCTGGAAAGTTGGTCCCTTGCTCCAACAGGTAGTTCTGGCTGGCCCTCTCTGAAGCCGAGGGCACCATCCCCCATTCTGGAGAAACATCACTGGAGACCTCAGTCTGAGAATCACTCTTTCTAGACACAGGTATTATAGGGTTTTGGATGCTGTGCTTGGAGTGAGTGCCATCTGCCTGGATCTGGCCTCCTGGCGACCTGGCCTCCCAGACAGTGAGCCCAGGGGACTCCTCCCATGACCTGCTTCCTGCCTGCTGGGCGCTGGGCTCTGGTGGTGTTTCCTGTGTAGAGAGAAAGACTCAGCCTCAGGCCTTCAGTAGTCAACCACTTTGAATAGTTTTCTAGTTGTTGCTGCCCTTGTACAAAGACGCAGATGCTGTGCAGACACCAGAAGGGATCAGTACAGTAATCCTCCCTTATCCATGGGGGATGCCTGAAGCTGCATATAGTACTACTGAACCCTGTATGTACTGTTTTTTCCTATATATATATATACCTCCAATAATTTTTTTCTTTTTCTTTATTTAATTATTTTTCAAATATAGTTTTCTGTCTTTTACTCCCATCCCAGCCCACCCCAAAGTTTAATTTTTAAATTAGGCACAGTAAGAATCACTGGTCCCCAGAACTCTTTCACCTTGTACAACTGAAGCTCTATCCCCATTAAATACTGTATTTTGCCCAAATTTTTGAAGGAAGAATAAGGATATGCATTATACATGGGTATAACGATTACATGCCATGGGTATAACACATTGTACGCAATATCACACACAAAAAATAATTACACACACAAAAATGTGGGTGCACATTACACACAACAGAAAATAGTACTAAGTCCCCATTCTCCCTCCCTCCAGCCCCTCATGTACTATTTATTGCCTTTATGAGTTTGACTAATCTGGGGCCTCATGTAAGTGGAATTGTATGCTATTTGTTGCTTTGTGACGGGCTTGTTTCATTAGCATAATGTCCTCCAGGTTCATCCACGTTGCAGTGGCAGTACATCCTTCCTCTGTAAAGCTGCGCAATATTCCATCGTGTGGATGCGCCACATTTTGTTTATCCGTTCACCCATCAATGGACACTTGGGTCCATACAGGGTCTTTACAGCTTCCTGTAAATCTCTAATTATTTCAAGAGAAAATGTTTAAAAGGAGTGAGAGACAGAAATGAAAAGTCCCTAAGGGAGGAGGCTGGGTGGGGGTAGAAAGGGTATAAGGGGGATAAATGGTAATGAGAAAAAAATACAATAAAAAAACCTGTTTTTTAAAAAGTTACTAAGTATGGGGGGAGATGACCAGAGCAGGTTCGGAGAGAGGATGGTTTCCGCTGGGACGTGGAGGGAGCACCATCCTTAGGCAGATGGCAGCCCGATCCTTCCGGGTGCTCAGGCCTACACCTGTGGAGTCACTGCAGCCCAGATCTCCCCGGACTAGATGCACGTAGCTGACATTTCTGCCTGGCATTTCCCGTCACGTCAAATGTGACACAACCAACACCAGCTCTTGAGCATCCCCTCTGAGTCCCCGTCTCAACTAACAACAACTCCATCCTTCAAGCTACTTATTTAGGCCCCAAACAATGGAGTCAACCCAATATCTTGTTTCCTTTCACAGCTGTGCCATCAGGTCTCCCTCCAAATTGGACTGCAAATAAATGCAATACCTAGGGACTAAGGCTGGCGTTCGTGGGTGCCTACAAACAGCAGCTGTTGCCCCACTTCTTTTGTACAGTTATCAGTGCTGGGGTGGAGGGAGACAACTCCTCTACAATGACCTCCCTGCACCTTAAGGCCAACCTCTCTAGGAGGGTCTGCACTGCATGTCAGACCACTGAAGGCTGTGGCATGTCAACGCCACATGCAGCCTTTTCTGAATAGATGGCAAAGTTATGGTCCCTCCTTTGTTTAAATTTAAACTTTTGGTAAGATCATTGCAAATTCTTGTGCAGTTGTGAGAAAAAACATGAAAAGATCCCTTGTGCTCCTTACTCAGCTTGCCCCAATGCTAACATCTTACATAACAAAAGCATGATATCACAGCTAGGATACTGACATTGATAAAGTCACTGCAGACATTACTGGCTCTCCGTTTGCATATGTATATTAAGTCCTATACGTTCTCTCACTGTTGGAGGCTCTGTATCCACATGACAGCTATGATACTGTACATGTGCAACACGAAGATCCCTGGCGCTGACAACTGCAAACACTACCTCTCTCCTGTGGGGCCCACCCCGTCTCCAACCCTTCACAACCACCAGTCCACCCAACATGTCTGTGTTTTTGTCACTTCGATAAAGTTCTGTAGATGGAATCTGATAACCTTTTGGGATTGGCTTTTCCGACTCTAACGCCTTCCCTGGATCCATCCAGGTTGTTGCCTGTGGCACTAGTTTGCCGGTTTTTTTTGTTTTTTGTTTTTTTTTTTACTGAGTCGTGTTCATGATGTAGAGACCATCATTTGTTCAATCAGTCACCCACTGAATGATATCAAGGGTGTTCCCAATTGCAGTTGATTACAAACACAGCTGCTGGGCATGCCCACCACTCACTTTTTTAGGGGCACATGTTACCAGATACTGTCCACCCTGGAGCTCCCAGTGGCAAGGACAAGAAAGCACACTGTGAGACGCCCCCACCCCACCCCAACCTGCACAAAAGCCTCTGAGAAGAAAAAGGTTTCAGGGGCAGAAGGTGAGCAAGAGGACTCTGGTCCCCAGCACTTTTGGTTTAGGCACAGCTGCCCTGAGTGCCTCTTACAGGCCTGCAAGCTACCTGCATAGCACCTGCAATCCGGAGACATCCGTGGTGCACTGTGCTAAAAATGGGGCTGTGAAGAGGGAACCAAGGTTAAACTCAGCTGCCCAAGCCAGGCTAAGAGGCTGCACATCTATGGGACTCAACCTGCTGATTTTAGGGCCTTACCAAGCTAAAGGCCCCACTCCCAAGGTCCTCTTCCCTTGCAGCTCCTAGTCTCGTCACTGCTTTCCTGGGTTTTGCAAACTGGGGAACAAATCTCCCAACTGAGTTCTGTGAACAAGATACAAGAACAAAGCAGCAATATATAAAGAAGGAATAAGGTCTCAGAAAGAAACCAAACACACACTCAAATGGGTTTTTTCTTGTAGTCTCAAACAAGACCTTTGCCCTCCATCCCCAGGGCACACCAGCCCCTGTAGGCCATGAGGATGAAGAGGCAGGAACTCCAGCAGAAGGGAGGCAGCTTCTGTAAGCACATACGAAAAGCTGCGAAACAGGCTCACCTGGGAAGGAGGACAGGCAATTGGCTCCTTTTCTGGTTGCGTGAGGAGCCTGGAGGGAGCTTCTGCTTCCTTATCCAGGGAGCTGGGTGGAGAAAGACAAAATGGAGGAGGTTCTGAAGTCATCCAAGGCTTTCAATGTGCTTAGTGCGACAGAGAAGGAAGTTCAAAGGCAAAGTAGTGGTCCAAGTCTCCTGGAAGGCAGGCCCTGGAGCATCTGCTGACAGAGGGTGGGATGGAGGAGGGGAGCAGTCTCCTGGGGAACATTTGACTCCGAGAAGGGTGCTGACTCCCACATCTAGAATCCGAGCTACCTGCTCTGGCAGAACTTTACCCATATAATCCTAGGAATTGGCTCCTGAAGTAAGACCCTGAATTCTCATTTGCACTGACACTCCTGCTTCCAACTTTGGAAATTCTAAGGAAGAGAATTTGTAGATACGGAAACACAGTGTCAAAAAAAAAAACAAAAACAAAAAACAGGTGTATTCATAATTTCCAAAATGTGGAAGCAACCAAGATGGCCTTCAGTGAGTAAATGAAAAAATAAACTGTAGTAAATCCAGACAATGGAATATTATTGAACACTCAAAAGAAATGTGCTATCAAGCCATGAAAAGACCTAGAGGAAACAAATGCATATTACTAAGTGGAAAGAGCCAATCTGAAAGGCCATGCACTGTATGATTCCAACTATATGGCATTCTGGAAAAGGCAAACTATGGAGAAAGTAAAAAGATCAGTGGTTGCAAGGTCGGGGGAAAGATAAACAGGCAGAACACAGAGGATTTTTGGGGCAGTGCAAACACTCTGCATGATACTTGTAGTGATGAATACATGTCATTTACATTTGTCCAAACAAACAGGATGTACAACGCCAGGAGGGAACTAAACTATGGACTCCGGCTGATGATGTGCCAGTATAGGTTCACTTTTGGTTACCAAAATACAATGTACCATTCTGGTGAGTGACAGTGATAATGGGGGAGGCTGTGCATGTGTGAGGGCAAGGGCTGTGTGAGGAATTTCTGTGTCTTCCTCTCAACTTTACTGTAAACCTGAAACTGCCCTAAAAAAAAGTCCTTTTTAAAAAACTGGTGAAACTACGCTTATATTTAAATAAATTGTGGACATGTACAATGTGGAAAAAAAAAAAAAACACAGACCAAAATCTGGAACCAAAATTCCACTTTTGGAAGTGGAATGGGAAAAAGCATGAAGATATGCTAATGGGTTTGAATTGCACCAGGGGAGGTTCTGGACACAGAATAAGTCCAGATACTGATAGCAAAAGCCTGTTAGAACATTTTAATTGGGATGGGTCGTTTGGCAGCTTCTAGGGTGCTGACAAGATTTCATTTCTTTTTTTTTAAAAATATTTTATTTGTTTATTTTTAGATAGAGGGGAAGGGAAGGAAAAAGAGTGGGAGAGAAACATCAATGTGTGGTTGCCTTTCATGCGTCCTCTACTGGGGACCTGGCCTGCAACCCAGGCATGTGCCCTGACTGGGAATTGAACCAGCGACCCTTTGCTTCACAGGCCCATGCTCAATCCACTGAGCTACACCAGCCAGGGCAAGATTTCATTTCTTAACATAAATGTGTTAAGCTTGTTTGCTTTACGTTTTCCATTATATTTCTGTGCATATGGTATTTCTTAATAAAACATTAAAAAACAAAAAAGAAGCGGGAACCTGCTTCTGGGCTTCTGACTACCTTTATGAACACAGAAGGCAGAGTGGGTGATGGCTCTAACCCCATAGCCCTGTTGGCCTCTCCAGGAGTATGGAGCACAGTGACATTCCTGTGTCTGGGGAAATGGCTCAGGTGTGACATGTGGTCCTCTTCATATCACATACAGAGCAGGGCTGCCTTTAATCCTAAAACTGCACTGACCGAGAGATCAGACACATATAGCCGCCCACCCCCGCCCCAGGAAAACTGTCAGATCACATGCCTTAATATCTTACTCAGAAAATATGGCAGCCCAATCCCTGACACACTCTCCAAAGACTCCAGGGAGCAGGAACCTTCCTTCTAATTCATGCTAACCCTTTCTACTTTGCTGTAGTTAGTTACATGTGGCTTAATGCCATGGGCAGACTAAACTCTTCTCCAGATTTTTCTTTTTCCCCATCATGCTTAATTACTTATTTCCTGGAAAAAAATAAGGGAACTAGGAAACCATGGTAGTTACAAGTACAGGAGCGAGATGTGGCCAGAACCACAGCCTGCCTTGCGACGGCTCAGTAGCCTTGGGCAAGTCATTTGATCTCTAAAAGCCTCGGAGTCCTTACCTGTTAAAAGAGGACAAAAATCTATTTTAAAGTGCCATGAGGATTAAATGAGATATGTGTAAAATGTTTATTAAGCACACTACCTATCATATAATTATTATTTTCTTTTATGGGTTACTATTTTTCAGACCTACTCCTGATACCTTCCTCATCAAGAAGGCATACAGGATAGCCCTGGCTGGTGTAGCTCAGTGGATTGAGCACAGGCCTATAAAGCAAAGGGTCACTGGTTCAATTCCCAGTTGGGGCGCATGCCTGGGTTATGGGCCAGGTCTCCAGTAGGGAACACATGAAAGGCAACCACACATTGATGTTTCTTTCCCACTCTTTTCCCTTTCCTTCCCCTCTATAAATAAATAAATAAATAAATAAATAAATAAATAAATAAATAAATAAATAAATAAATAAATAAAATGTTTTAAAAAGAAGGAATACAGTATAAATATGGATTTGACCACCAGAAAGGATGAGCTACATTCTAAAGCTAAGTGATCTTGAAAAATTCAAATTTTTTCTTGCCTGTGCTTATAATATTGACCTTTATTGATAGAGAGGAGAGTCCTGGGGAGGAAAGCACCAAGAAACGCAATTCAAGAGACCTGAGTCCTCGGGAGGTCGGATAATGAATGGGCCATATAATCCCCTCCCCGTTTGCATCCTGTTCACTGGGTGGCTGTGCCACGCCCCCTGTCACCGCGGGGAGGTGCTAAAATGTTCTAAGCCACCTACCTGGAGGCCACCGCCTGTCCTGGCTCCTCCCCACTCTGCTCCACAGAGGGAGGAGGTCCTGACCTGCATTCTGACTCTTCAGGGTGATGCAAAGGGCCCAACTGGAAACTGTGGGGGGCCCCGTCAGAGTCTCTGAGTCTTGTGTTCTTTGGTGGTTTGGGTGGACGGACTCCTTCTCCTAGTTTAGAGACAAAGGAAGACAAAGAGGTAGAGGATGCCCAGAACACACCCTGCCATGGCTGACAACCCAACCTGGCAGGGCCACAGCTGCAGCGTGTGCAGGTTTGTTCCAGGGGCAGGAAACCCCTGCTCTGACACTTGTCTGGAGATCGAGAGATGGGAGGGAACCTGATCCAAAAGGGACCCAGGAGCTTGCTTATGTGGCCATGGGATTCAAAGGCCTTTTACCCATGGACTAGTCACGACTAAGGCTGAATCCTGAGGTGGCCTGGCTTGGCTCCAAACCACAGAAGACAACCAGACTCAGCTGACTTTTTCTGGGCAAGTGGTGAGAGGTGGGTACTGGCTCCTTTGGGTCTCAGCTCAAACGTCCCTGCAGAGGGGCCATTCCCTGACTTTTCCATAAACATCCCCTTTCAGGCCCATGCTGTTCTGTTTACTTCAAGCCTTTCCTCAAGTATCAATGTACTGGGTCATTTCTGTCTTTCCCACTACAACTTGCTCCATGCAAAGAGGGGCCTCATCTGATCACATTCTGCTGGGGCTCAAGTGCCTAGAAGAGCACCTGGTACACTGTTGGTGATCAATAAATACTTGGTAGGTGATTGAATAAATGTAGAAAATGCATATCATTTCCCAGGAAATGCAAGTACTACTAATTATGTACCACTCTAGTTTTCTGTGATGCCTGAAGAATATTCACACTGGGAAAACTTGGACCCTGGGTCATTAAGTGCTAAAGAAGGGATGCCTCAGCTGCCACTTAGTTCTTTGTATCTCTGCAATACTTTCCCCATCACTGAGGACAATTTAGAGCCCAAAAGCTCTTATAAACACCTTGTTAGATGAAGGAAACTCCCTTACACAGAAATTGCCAATAGTGGCTGGCTTGTCAAATCTCCCCAAATCTAGCCCCAACTGAACCATTTATTCAATGAATAATAAGTTTTGACTCTGGTGAGCTCCATGCCAGACACTGTCCTTAGAATTTGGTGTTTATGATAAACACCAAAAGTTTATGATAAAACTTCAAGGTAGGGTCCTGTTGTTATACCTGTTCTACAGATAAGAAAGCTGAGGCACGTGTGGCCCAGGAATCCAGAATGAGATCTAGGCATCCAACTCCAAAGTCTTCACACTTAAGTGTGCTTCAGCATTTAGTGAGTCCCTACTATGTACCGTGCTTCTGATCAGGCAGTGAAGGCTAAAGGACAAACTAGACCCAGGCCTAACCTTCCTGGAGTTCAGTCACATAGACCTTTCCAACCTCAGCTCCTTACACACCTTGAAATAAACCCATTGAATATAAGCGCCCCCAACCTTCCCAGTGCCAATCGCTATGGTCCTCAGCACTCACCCAGCTGTTTGTACTCCACTAGACCACAACGACTTTCCTGTAATTTCTTCTAATTCTGCGAGGTATGGTTCATGTGCACCCATTCTGAACTATAACCCACTGCTGTGTATTTGATTAGCTCTAAGAGAAGCATTTTTCTATTTTCCTTGACTTGACCCTAAGGCTGTCCAGGGGAGGAACTAAATCTGCTGCACCCTTTGATCTCATTCCTGCCCTGCCTCCCACCTCTCTCTCAGGTGCCCACCCCAACACTGTATCCAGAGGAAGGCTCCAATGAGTTTCTTACACAAACATATTCCTACTTTGTGGTATGCCAGAAAATACAAAATACAGCAGCCTCATTTATTTGGTTTCTTAAGATGCCAAAACACTAGCTTGCTTTGCTGATCCAATGAACATTTATACCAAATAAAAAGCATAACTATGAACAGAAGTGAACAGCCTCCATTTCCTTCCTGTGATCTGTCCCCACAGGACTAATTTAAGAAAAACTAAGGCAAAAACTTGTTTTCAACACCAAAGGCCAAAAAGATCTTGGGAGGGCAAGGACTTTTTTCACCACCTGCCAGAACTGTCTTCCTCTCCTCCCACTCCATCCAAGACACACAGCAACAGCTGTCCTGGGGCAGCCCAGGGGTTCAATAAGCTGAGGAGTCCATGGCCAAGAGAGCCCCAAATGACTGGCTGTGGGTGGGCCTGGCTGTCCTCAGATTCCCCCTCCAAGGTCAGAGGAATCCTCATGTCTCCAAGCAGCTTGTTGCTTATCTCTGCACAAAATATTTTCAATCTGTTAAGTTTATTTTCAGTTGCCCATTTTGGGGGGAAAATGAGTACTGCTGCCTAAGTTCGTTAAGCAGTGAGTAAAATAACTTCTAAACTTTTAAGGAATTCGAGATACTCTAGACAGTAGACAGGGAAATGGAGGTACACTATGTAATACTGGGTGTTTTTCTTCTTAAAAATGTATTTTAGCCCTGGCTGGTGTAGCTCAGTGGATTGAGTACAGGTTGCAAACCAAAGGGTCACAGGTTCGATTCCCAATCAGGGCACATGCCTCGGTTGCAGGCCAGGTCCCCAGTGGGGGCCATGTGAGAGGCAACCACACATTGATGTTTCTTTCTCCCTCCCTTCCCCACTCTAAAACTAAATAAATAAAATCTTTTTAGAAATGTAATTTTTATTCTTGAGAGGAAAGGAGGAAAAAAGAGTGGGAGAGAAACATCAGTTGGTTGCCTTTCATATGTGTCCTAACTAGTGACCGAACCTGAAACCTAGGCATGTGCCCTGACCAGGAATTGAACGACACCCAACCAACTGCCATAGCACCCAGGGGTGTTTTTCTCTGTGAATGAGGAAATTCTATATCCATATGGGCAAGTAAAGATGGTCTCAATATACCACAAAGTAAAAAACGAAGGATGCGCATCAATGTGTGATGATTCTATTTTCCAATAAAAACACTCTCTTTTGGATAAACAGAAAAAGTTTGGAAGAAGTAGTGTACTCAGGTTCATTTCCTGTTGGTTGGCTTGTTTGATTGTTTTTAATTCTGTGCTGTATGATTGATCCCGGTCCTCTGGTTTTGCTGGATGTTAACATTAAAGGAATCTGGGGGCAGGTACACAGAAGTCTGAACTACTTTTGTAGTTTTTGTGTAAACCCAAAACTATTTCAAAAGAAAAGTTTTTTAAAATTCTGGAAAGACAATCATACAGCAACCTAGACTTGTGTACTACCTAGGGTCTCTTCTTAGTGCTTTTCAACTACTAATCCACATCTGAGCTCGAGGGCATGGTTCTCAACCTAGACACTACTGACATCTGAAGCACTATGGGCCTTTGGGGTTGGATATTCTGTGTTGTGGGGGCTGTCCTGCGCATTCGATGACTTTGAGCAGCATCCTGGCCTAGACCTATTGAACACCAGTACCACCCCTCCCACACACACCAATTGCAAAGACCAAAATGATTCTAGACATCGTCAAATATCCTCTGGAGGGCAAATTCCTCCCCCAACCAAGTTGAGAATCACTGTTCTACAAAAAAAAAAAAAAAAAAGCGGGGGAAGTGCTTTTCTTATCCTCTATTTGTAGAAGGGGGAAAGCAAAGCACAGAGTAAGTCACCTGCCATCACACAGTGGGCAACAGAATTGGGAAGAACCCAGGTATTTGGTTTGAGAGTGAAGCACTTAGCTACATACCAGATGGCCTTGCAACATGTCTATTCAAGAGTGGTCGCTAAGAGTGGGCCTGCATAGAGGTTGCACCCCTGCCCCGAAGCCTGGGCCATCCCTCAGCTATGGACCCCACCAGAGGGTGGAGGAAGCTCCACGAAGCTTTCACTTTCTACTGTACACACTCCTCCCAAATTTATACCTTTCTTACTCGCAGGTATTAAACCATTATTTAAAAGGAGCTTCGTGCCCTGGCTGGTGTAGCTCAGTGGATTGAGCACAGGCCTGTGAAGCAAAGGGTCGCTGGTTCCATTCCCAGTCAGGGCACATGCCTGGGTTGCAGGCCAGGTCCCCAGTAGAGGACGCATGAGAGGCAACCACACACTGATGTTTCTCTCCCATTCTTTCTCCTTCCCTTCCCCTGTCTCTAAAAATAAATAAATAAACTCTTTTTAAAAAAGGAGCTTTGTGTGATGATGTCAGCACTTTTGCAATAAATAACCCAAATTCCTCCTAAGAGCAGAAACAGCAATAAAAAGATCAACTGGAACATCCAAATACCTGAAGTTCGAAGCCTCTTCCTCTTACTCATTTTATCCCTCCCTTGAGAAATCTGAAAACGAACAAAATCTCATCATTACAAGCAATCACTATTCCCTGGGTACAGACTCAGTGACATTGACTGAGGTCAGAAGTCCCCCCGCCCCCCACCCTCGGACCATGTGGCTGCCCTAAGGGCTCAGTTAGGCCCCAAGAGGATTCATGGGGTGCGAGTCACAACAACTTTGGGCCACTGGCTAGGTAAGAACTCAAATCTCCTCCATGTTGCAGAGGACAGCAAAGGAATTGCCCATCTTCTGCCCAGGGTCTGAGAGCACATGGGTGGGGTTGGGGACGGGGTGTTGTCAGTAGGAAGTCTTAGAGACTCTGGCTCTAGTACCTAAGTTGGGACAGCCTGTGTAAAACTCCTCCCTCTAGGCTGGGGTCTCTGGGAACCTTCTAGAGACACCTGAGGGCTTTGGAGCGCTTTTAGAGGGGACACTTGGGGCACTTCAAGAGGTAGGAGGCTTTATGGGGGCACCTGGGGCCTTGAAGGGACAGGAGTTGCCCCAGGGCAATTCCTTCCAACCTTGGGGACCGAACATGCCCACACTGACCTGAGCCTGAGAAGTTATTGAGGTCTCTGTCCTTATCAGGAACTGGGTAGGTCTGCCTGGAGTTGTTGTAGGACAACTAGGTTAAATTACCTGCGTAAAATATTTTGGAGGAAATGAAGGTAAGTTGACCCCTCTCAGAGGCCGGGCAGCCCCAGGGTCTGGAGCTGAAAGGCCAGGGGGTGTGAGACTCCAGGATTGTGGACTGGCTTCCAGAAACTAAGCCCACACTAACCCTACCGCAGCCACTGAAACGTGAAGACTGCTCAGACCTGAACCGCCACGATGAAAGCAGTGAACTTGGTGGTCACTGCCGCGCCTCACGTGTGCGTACCCGGCCTCTTTCCCGCGCTCCGCGAGTCACATTCGCGCGCGTGCGCGACGCCAGCTTTGCCGCTCCTACTCATACAGGGCCCGCCTCTCTCCCGCACCACTGCGGCTCAACCCACCGCCTAGAGACGCGCATGCGTGCTTGCGCGATGCCTGCCGGGAGTTGTAGTTTCAGTGTGATGGGCAAGGCAATTCCAGTGGCAGCTCTCCGGTGCCGCAGCGCCCAAGGGACGAGACGGAAGTAGGGCGGCCGCCCCGGAGACCGAGGACGCTGGGTCTGCGGTCGCGGGACTCCGGCGACGAGCGCGGGGCTCAGGAAGGGCGCGGCGATAGGCCCCGGGGGAGGAGGCAGGGCAAGGCCAGGCTAGGGGGCTGTGGTCGGATTATCTAGCCTGGAAGATGCAGAAGAGGAAGGGAACCCCGGGACCCCCCGGCCGAGGCGCCGCCGCGGCCCGCCAGGTGAGTCAGTACCCTGCGGCCTAGGCCACCCTCCCTACCTGCCCCTCAGGGGAACCCGATCTCCACCCCCAGGTGAGCCCCGGTCCCCGCCCCCAAAATGAGGTTTGACCCCCCACAAATGCGGCCTACTCTATCTGGCACCTCAGCTGCTGGCGCCCCGCCCTATGCTTAGGGCCACCTGTTGCTGCAGCAGCTCCAATTGGTGAGGGAAAGGCCTCGACTTGAGATAAGGACAGGTACTGCTCCCCTGGCCTGAGCTCCCTTTGAACCGTCGCATCAGCCGGGCCAGGTCAGACTTTTTTTACCCCGGTTGTAAACATGGCACTGAGGCCCAGAATGGTGAAGACACCTACCTGCCCATGGTCATGGGAATTAACAGCTCGGCAGCTAAGGGCAAATCCAGAGGTGATCCCATTAGCCAACAGGACTGTGGCTGGGTCCCTTCTCCCTCTCTCCCTTCTCTTCTCTCCCAGGCACCACAAGAGTTATTTTTCTCAGCTTTGATGGAAGGAGCTCAGGCCATTGCTTAGTGCCAGGTGTTAGAGTCTGGCCAACCTGAAGGTCCCACTTGGCCTCTGTACATTGGATACTGGGCCTCACAGCTCCCAAACTCAGTTTCCCCATCTGTAAAATGGAGGCCCTAAGAGTCCCTGTGTCATAGGACAGTTATGAAGATTCATTGGGATCGTTTATGGATAATGCTAGAAAATAGCACTTAGTAAGTGTTACTATCATTGTTACTATTAGAAGGAGTCATATGTAATTGGTAATATTGGGCCATTTTTGATCTACAGAGAGGGCAGTTTTGTGTAATTCAATCTAATATTATCATGTCATGATGGGTCATTAACCAGGATAGGATAGATAGGAAGACAGTCTGTTACACAGCAAAGACCCCACTTTCAACATCATGTTATTGTAAGGGCTTCTGTTTGCTTTTGACACCTCCAGCCTTCCTGCATATCCCCCTCTGTTGAGGATGCTGGAAGGAAAAATGCCCAGGTGTGCGGAATGGCGGTGCCTTGGAGAGAATGTGGGGCCTGCTTTCCCCACTGCTCTCTGCTAGCAGTGCATCATGGGTACGGACTCAGAGCAAGAAACTGGGTCTCTCTACCTGCCCTTTGCCTCATGTTGATGTATGCTAAAGGGCCTGGCCAATCTTGGGACACCTGTTGCATTCTGGGCCTGTTCAAGACTTCTGGCACTCCCTAGGGAAATGGCTTTGCCAAGAGGCCTGGATTGTCTTCCTCCCAAGGGCACTCTGAGTCCATCATCGCTGCCTCTGGCTAGGTGAGGAGCACCCCAATGTCTAACTAAACTTTTGCTGTTCCCGCAGCTGGGCCTGCTGGTTGATCTCTCCCCAGATGGCCTGATGATCCCCGAGGATGGAGTTAACAATGAGGAACTAGAGGCTGAGTTCTTGGCTTTGGTTGGGGGCCCACCCCAAGCCCTGGAGAGGCTCAAAGGCAAAGGTGAGACACTCAACCCACCCATGGAACATTTCCTGAGCTCCCACTATGGGCCAGGCTCAGAGCTGGGTGCTAGGAAGACAGAGGAAAGGAGACAGAAAAGGTCTCTGCCCTCCTTAAACCCGAAGTCTGGGTTAAAGGTTAAATGGTCAACTCTGGACCCAGAGTAAGTGTTTGAATCCCAACTCTGCTACATACTGCCTGTGACTTAATATGTCTCACAACCTGTGTGGGCCTGTTTCCCCATCTATAAAATGGGAATAAACCACACTTATGTCACCAGAGTTAATCTTCTAGTGTTCTTAAAGGACTTCTTCACACTGGACCTGGTGAGTCATCCAGCCCACTGATCAGGGCTGGGATAAGGGAAGTACAGGGCAATGGGAGAGACCTATGATCTGGGAAGAGTTCATGGAGGGGGCACCCATGAAGGGTAGGGCCACATAAAGATTTGGGGAGTACTTCTGGGAGGGGTCACAGCACATGCAAAAGCTCTGGGGCAGATGGCAGTGGGCAGAGGATTCCAAAGTGGTCAAGTGGGGCTGGAGCCCAGAGGGCAAACGTAGCCTTTATACTTTCTAGGTAACACAGTTGATCCTCATTATCACAAATTTTGTATTTGTGAATTCACCTACTGGTTAAAATTTATTTGTAACCCCAAATCAATACATGCAGCTCTTTTGCAGTCATTCTTGGACATGCACAGAGCCACAAAAAGTTTGAGTAACCCAGCCTGCCCAGTGTCCCACAGTGAGGAAGTTCCAGAGCCAGAGTTTGAATGCAGGCTTTGTAAGGAAGGGATAAGGCCGGTGAGGTCCTCTGGGGAGCGGGATCATGCCTGCTGGCCCTAGGGCAGTGGGTGCCATGGAAGTGCCAAGAGAGAGACATGCTGCCCCATTGCCTGCTACCATATTCTTCGGGGCTGTGAGTGATCAGAATGGGAAACTGGGGTCTTTCGAAAGATCCTGATCCAGCTGGCACCTCCTCCTGCTGCCAGGTCCCCTCCCCATGGAAGCCATTGAGAAGATGGCCAACTTGTGCATGAGAGACCCAGATGAGGAGGAAGGGACAGACGATGAGGATGTGGAGGCTGACGATGATCTGCTGGTGAGTGTCCAGGTGGAGCAGAGGGCCTCCGCTCCCATTGTTTCCCCATCTGTCAGGCCCTCATGCAGCCTCCCGGCCTTGTGTCCATGCAGGCGGAACTAAATGAGGTCCTTGGGGAGGAGCAGAAGACTTTGGAGTCCCACCCTCCTGTGGCCCAGGTATATGTTCAACAACTCTATTCCCTGTAGCTCAGGGTTCAAGGCCTTCCCTTAAACCTCAGCCAGGTGATGGAACACTTCTGAACCCAAGTTCTCTGTACTAAGGAAGGGCATGATAATTTCTGTCCTTCCAAAGGGGGGAACAACTGGCACAGGGGTGACATGCCAGGTGAGCAGTAGGCCCTCAACCAAAGACACCTGCAGAGTGGACTGAGTTGGGTCATCACCCACCCACATCATGCTCTGGGCTCCTCCCACAGCCAATAGCCACGGCCCCCAGCCCAGGAGTGGAGGCCACCTTGCAGGAGAGGCTGGCCCTCTACCAGACAGCGATCGAAAGTGCTAGGCAAACTGGAGACAGTGCCAAGATGCGGCGCTATGACCGAGGACTTAAGGTGAGTGGGCAGACGGGAGAGTGCTGGGACCCTACCACTGCCCCTGTACTCAGCTCCAGGCTCTTTCAAAAGCCCCGTTTCCACATTCTCCCAGACACTGGAAAACCTGCTGGCCTCTGTCCAGAAGGGCAATGCCATCAATGAAGAGGACATCCCACCACCAGTTGCCGTGGGGAAGGGCCCAGTGGCCACATCCAGCCACACATCTACACCCACCCTGCCAGCCTCTATGAACCCGCCAGCCTCAGAACCCAGGGTCACAGTGGAGGGTCACAGTGGAGGGTCCTTGTCACTGGGCCTGGCTAAGCCCCAGCTGCCCTCAGGTAGGCCAAGTGCAGGGTTGCTGACCTGGGATGTCGGAGGATGCATTCAGCTGTTGGCCCCTGTGTGAGGGGGAAGGACCTGTACCTTCAGTAAAATATCTCACCGATTGTGAGATATTTTAAATACCCCTTCATTTCCCAGGTCTGCATGCCCCTGGAGTTCATGAATACTTTTTTGTGTGTGATGGTAAAATATGTGACATAACATGTGCCATTTTAACCATTTTTCAGTGTACAATTGAGTAGCATGTAGTTCGCTCACAATGTTGTGCAGCCACCACCTCTATTTCCCAAACTTCACCCCAAACAGAAAGACTGTCCCCATTAAACACTAACTCCCCATCTCTCTCCCCTATCTCCTAGTAGCCTCTATTCTATTTTCTATCTTAATGAATTTGCGTCTTCCAGATCTTTCATATAAGTAGAACCATACACTATTTGTCCTTTTCTGTCTGGCTTCCTTCACTTAGGATAACATTGCAGCCTGTGTCAGCACTCGATTCTTTTCTTAGGGCTGAGGAATTTCCCACATATAGAGTTTTAAGTGAAAAATTTTCAAGCACTCAGCTTGTCTGTCTTTTCTCCTAAAACTCACTTGGCTGGAGGACACACCTGCCTAGAGGTTTTCCTTCCCAACCTTCCCTTTTTGGGTCTCTCCTTCCACTACAGGAAAGGAGTACCCACTCCCTCCCTTCTAGAATCTGAACTCTGGGCTCTGCTCCAGGGGCAAATGGGAACCAATGAGATGACATAAAAGGCTGGCCTGGGGTTGAGAAATGTGGACATTGGGACTCTAAATCCTTCTGTGGCCAGGCTGGCCTCTAGGCCATTGTTTTTGGCAAAGTACAAGGAAGACTGTTGGAAATTGTCACCTGAAATTCTTGGCCAAAACCACCCAGATTTTCACAATTAGATTTTTGGCATATACCTCAGCAGGGGTTCGGAGAATCACGTGCCTTTGCAATAACAAGACTTCATCTCTTCCCATCTATTTGTTGGTGTGAAGCACTTTAAAAAAGGAAAAAAGAAAGCAGAAAAGGAATGAATGGGAATCAGGAGCTAAATGTTAGAAGGTGGACCCAGCCTTTACTATATCAGCAAGAGGTACCTTGCCAATAAAATTTTACCCTTG